GGGCCTCTTTCCACTCACCTCCTCTGAGGTTCCTTCCTCAGAGAACAGTTCTACCAGCCACCTTAACCCTGGCTCCAGATGCTGAATGGGAATCTGGCAGATGAATTTTTTAAAAATATATTTTATTGATTTTTTTCCCCCTCCCTCCCTTCCACACATCCCCTCCCTCCCCAGAGTTTTATGTCCATTGGTTGTACTTATATGCATGTATAAAAGTCCTTTGGTTGATCTATTATCTCCCTCAGATCTTTCTCCCCTCCCTGCTGTAATTTGACAGTCTGGCAGATGAATTTTCATGCACCAAGCCTCATACACTGGATGGAGGCAACCAATTCAGCCCGCCAGCCCCCTCTCACGGTCCAGGAGCCCTCAGGAGTAGGCTGCGACCCAGTGATCAGGGGAAGGTGATGCCTCCACACCTCTGCTGCTGCCACTGCTGGCAGCACAAGCCTTGGCAGGCCCTGGTTACCTGAGCCTTGGGCCAGCCTTGGGTGGCTGGGGGGCTGAGGGGACTGGGGGACTCTAGAGGTAGGTGCATGGAGCAGCCAGACGTGCCTAGGGGTGGGCTCAGCCATGCCATGTGCCTGCCGCCCCAGTGGGGCTGAAGGGACTGGTGCCGCTATCTTGTGGCTGTGGGAGCCGCTATCTTTGAGGGCATGGCAGTAAATTAGCATAGTCCCTCCTTATTGGCTGTGGATGCTACATCTTTGTGAGGGCATGATGGTCAAGTAGGATATTCCCTCTTTATTAGATAGGATTTGAGGTCCATACAAAATTATCAACTTAAAAATTAGCCTGCTATATTTGATCAGACATGGCCATAAGTCACATAGGTGCAGGGGAGCATCAGGAACCCATTCTGCACACAGGGGTGAGAAGGGGGAGAGAGAGAAAGCACACGCTTTTTGTGTAGGGGTGGATACATAGCTTGCTAGTTCCTAATAGGCCCTTTCAAAGCATTCTGCCTTAGTAACATCCTTGGGAGTGGTTATAAGCCTCACTGCCTTGTGATTGGTTATCTGTAAGATTCCTATCTTAGTAGCATCTATATATTTTAAAGTTTACGTCTACTATGGGGGCCCTTCTTTCCCCACTCAGCTGGGTTGCCTTAGTAATTTCTGCCAGCTGGGTTCCCCCATCTATTTTCTTCCCCTCGGTGCACCCTCCCCCATGGTCCCATTCCTGGCTACCTAGCTTTCTTCTGTCTCCTCACCTAGAGGGCCAGACCAAATGATTTAGTCGGCCTTATCCAGCCCATGGGCCAGACCTTCCTCACCCTTGTTTTAAGGGATGGTTTCTAGGGGCAAGGGGTAGGAAGAAGGGCCCTGGGTGCAATCTTGCCCAGTGTTCTCTCTTGCCAGCACATTTTTAGCTGCCTTTCTGGTTACACTGTGATCTCTTCATTCCCTGTGGAACTTCACAGCTGGGATTCGTTACAGAGTGAATTGACCTAAGGCAAAGCATCCTCTCTCCCCAGAGGCAGTCTAGGCTCCCGAGGGCCTGCCACAAGGGTCTGAGGCTGAGGCTGGAGGCCCCAGAGCAGAGCGGGGCAGGATGACAACTTTGACACGGGCCACCGCTCTCGAAGGGGGAGGCTCAGCTGGCTGGAAACAGGCTAAATCCAAGAGCACATTCATTTCTGTCCATTGCCAAGTTTCCTGCTTGGGTTTAAGCAGTCCACTGCCCTCAAGAACAGGATGAGGAAGACGGAACATTTAACCTCGGTTTTGGCAGGGGGAGTGAGACCCACCTGTGACAGGTGTCACCATCAGCTCCCTTATGACTGATTCTGTGTGATGATTAGGCTGTGGACCCTTCTTCTGTTCCTTGAATCGCATAGGTCACCAACCAACACACATATACTGACACACACCCACACACACATACACCCACACACCCACACACATAACCTTAAATGGTGGAGTTAGAGGGAGGCAGGGCATTGCAGCGTGACGCGGTCACATACATTGTTCCGGAGCCAGAGCACCCAGGTTTGTGTCCCAGCTCTTCCACTGACCATCTGTGAGTCCTGGGGAAAATGACATCACCTCAATTTCTCAGTTCTGAAGCAGTGACCATGACACCGGCCTCACATGGTTTTTATAAGGATTCAATGATGTGGGATCCCTTAACACGACCTGCGTGGTTCAGAGCCCACTCAGAGTCCGGTTTCTGGAGAAGGCCACACACTAAAACGAAGAAGCTAGAAAATAGTTAATTTGGGAAAATGGGGCCAAGCGGGAGTCCACCTCTCGGGGAGGACTATTCCATTGCCTTTTACCATTCCTTTTATTGAATTCTGAGACAAAGACATCTCCTAGGCGGGAAATTCCAACAACAGAAAATTAACAAGAATTTACATATGATCAACAAATTAAAGTTACCTCAACTACCACTATCTCAACTAGACATGAGTTAATAGCTCAGACCATTCAGAGCCATCAAGGTTGGCCAAGCTCCCTTTACATTTTATTACCCGTGACAATGTTCTGTTTGGTTTCCGGCACAATGAGTTAGTTCCTGTAAAGGCAGAAGAGTACCTTGGCACAGCCACAGGTTGGCCTTGTAAGTAGTAAACACGGATCATCTGCTCTGTGAGGAAAATCTGAAAGCTTGTTTTCTGGTTAAATGTACTTTAGTAGCTACACTACTGCTAGAAGTTAGAATTAAGTTCTCAAGTGATTCAACCAGAAGGAAACCGAGGGGGTGAGCTGAGGCACAATTAGACTTGCACAAGTAGGGTTGCGATTACTGTAGTTTGCATGAAGAGTAACATACTTACTAAACTAGAACCAAGGAGGCTTGTTATCTATACTAGCCAGATCATGGTAATAGTCCCTCTAAGAGCCTGAGTTCTTCAGAGGTTCTTTTTGGTTATACTCAAGTCCTCTAACTCATGGTCTGGACACGGAACCAACGCATTTTAATCAGCATCAACATTCTGGACGAAGGCCTCGTTCTATCCCTTGTTAAGTTTGTCCCTCAAGAGTAACCAGCATTTGAGGCCCAGCTGATAGATCTTGCTGGCCTTCTATAGGTCTAGCTTGAAGCATTGCAACCATGTCTCTTTGCCACAATCAGAAAGAACTGCCAATATGGGCAAGCTGAGGAGGAACCTTGAAACTTGTCAAGACTCTCAGAAACAAACAGAGCCATTAGGTTGGAAGTGGGAGGACACAGGAGAGCTGGTGTCAAACCACAGAAGGGCTGACGGAAGACAGAGCGAGAGGAAGAACACGTATTAAACGCTGACTGTGCTTGGGGTGTGCTGTCTCATATCTAATTAAATACCAGTAGCAACCCCGTGGAGGTAGACAGAACTACTGCCTGCAGCCAGGTGGGGAAGAGGTCGTGACATGTAAAGGCCCCGTCGGCCACATTCTCCGGCCTCCGACTGTGACACAGGTATTGTATTAGCACTTCCTAATGTTCAGAGTTGGTAAAATGATGTGGAAATTATGTGGCTGTTTCTTACCATCGGAGACATCCAAACAAATGCTGGGTGACTATCATCAAAGACATTGAAAAGATGATTTCTGTCTATGAAGAGTGGAAATGGAACCTCTATGAAGGCACCACCCCACTTTGTTTCTCAACTTTGGGGTAGGACATACACTTTAGATATATTGTGATGGTTTTTGCTATATTTTCCTCTTCCTCTCCCATCCCATCCCTTTCTCCCATGTAGGCAGACATTCTGTGCTGGGAACACGCCTTTTTTAAAAGGAGGGAGATGGTAGCTGGCAGTTTGGTCCTTGGGATAACAGTGACCATCCTTTTCTCCCTGGTTGTCGAGTTGAATTAAGTTTACTAAGGAGCCCGCTTCTCTTAGGCAAACCTAGAAAGATTAGAAGAGGAAGCAATTAAGTAACATCTCCTCCCTCCTCCTGTTTCTTGGCAACAGGAAAACAAAAAATCTGAAGGAAGGACTTAGGCTGGGATTTGGTTTAAGATCATATCCTGCTATCTAATCCTAGTGGGGACCTGCTATAGAAACCAGGTTGACTTTTGAGAATGAAGTTCTATTTCTTACACACTTGGGCTTGTGAACAGTATTTTAAACTTAGGAGATGGTGTGTGTGTGTGTAAAAATGGTCGCAAACCTAAAGTTTTTGGTCCTCTGCTGCCCCTGTGTGGACACAGCTGGAAATAACAATTCAAAATCTCACTAAGCTGAAGTGTGAAATTGGACTTGGGAGAAACCTCCCCTAAGAACTGGGGGTGGAGGCTCACAGGCTAGAGGGAGTCTTGTGACCAATGTGAGGGACTCAAGAACTGTTGCTGTCCCAGCAAGGCTGGGTTCTCAGCGGAGAGGCACAGAACTCAAACAAGCTGTCAATGACTTCAGGAGGCTCTCTTCTTGTCCACCATCTTTATTTTTCCTCCAGACACTTGCAAGTGATCATCGAAAGGCTCCCAGTCATGCACCTCTGTGGTCCTGGGCCACAGTCAGCACCCGTGGGCACAGTGCCAACCCTCCCACACCTCCTCTTCCTGTGCTCGGAGTAACACGTCTGTGGGTTTCCCCCTTGGGTGTCACAGTTTTCCATGCCACCTCTTCACCGGCTGTCTCCACACCACCATCTCCAGGGAGCCCTGCACCATCACATTCAGATTCCCTGCACCAGCCCAGGGCAGAGAGGACCCTTTTGTTTTGACAAAGGAGAAAGGGGAACACCAGGGCACAAAGGGGAGGGGCGAGAGGCTCTGAGTCACTGGGGGCACCAGTTGGATTCAGAATCCAATGGGGGTCTGAATCCCAGGACAAACTTCTGCCTACAGCCTAGCTGCTCCCTCCTGGGTGTCCATCACACCCTGGCCCTCACTCCCCACCCCATCACGACAAGCAGCAATGGTGGGACCATGCTCCAGCCCTCTCGCTCTCCTGCCTATAAGAGAGGATGGGGTCTCTGGGCCTCCCCATACCTGTCACTGGGCCTCCTCTCTCCAGCTGGGAGCCAGGGACCCACGCACCTGGCCCAAACTCCCTGCCCCACCCCTCAGGCCTCCAGACCCTGCCGCAGCCTGCGGTCCAGGGCCAGGAGCTGTCTCAAGAAGCCCCGGTTGGGGATGATGCCTCGGTGGTCCTTGACTTTCTTGATGGCCTCCACGAGGGTGAGGTGATGGTACAGCATGAGGTAGGCCAGCACCAGCGTAGCAGATCGGCTCACTCCCACGGCACAGTGTACCAGGATCTTCCCTGTGAGGACAGACACAGAGGCAGCGTGGCACTGTTGGTGGGGGGTGGTGGGTTGGAGGAGGCTAGGGAGAGGGCTATGCAGAGTGTGAGGAGGGAGATGTGACAGAGGTGTGTGAAGACAGAGTGAGGGGCAGATGAGTGGTGGTAAGAATGCAGATCCCGCCTGGCCAGTGTTGCCCTACAAAACAGGAGGTCACAGTTCGATTCCCAGTCAGGGCACATGCTTAGGTTTCAAGTTCAATCCCCAGTGCTTGGAGTAACACGTCTGTGGGTGTTACTCGTCTGCCTTCTGCATGCCTCCAACTCAGTGGGAGGTATGCAGAAGGCAGCTGATGGATGATTCTCTCTCATCGTTGATGTTTTCTTTCACTCTCTCTCTCTCTCACTCTCTCTCTCTCTCTCTCCCCCCCTTTCCCTTCCTCTTTCTGAAATCAATAAAAACATATTTAAAAAAAAAGAATGCAGATTCCCCAGCAAATTCTCTAGATTGAATGATATGAAGAACAGCAGCAGGTCAGCATCCATAAAGCCAGAGAGGGCTCAAGGGAGAGACTCTCATAAATAATGCAAACCCAAACTCTGTGCAGAGTGGGGCCTCAGCTGATACTGCTGAGCTCATCCTGGGAAACACCCTGAGTCTGACCTGGTCACTCCTCCATCTCCCCACCTTCTATCTTGCTGTTTCTAGCAACCATTTTTGTGTGTGGGGTGTTTAATATATTTTTATACACTTTTTTGGTCTGATCACGAAAGCAAGACACGCTCAAAGTAGAAATAATTGGAAAGTTTAGAAATATATAAAGGAACAAAAGATGGAAATATTACCACCCAGGTGCAACTTGCCACTCTCTTAACATTTTGGATTCATTCCTTCTCCTTTTTGTTTTTCTTTTTTATGTCTTTACATTATTTCATGTATTTTTTATTTTATTACTTTAAATATGGCTTTGCATGTCATGACTTTGCATGTCATCCTTGCGCCAGGGCTAATCTTCTCTGTATTTTCTAATTTTAGTATACGTGCTGCTGAAGTGAACATCATGTAGTTTTTACTTTTATTTTTTTTACAAATATATTTTATTGTTTTTAGAAACGGAGAGGGAGAGAGAGGTAAAAACATCAATGATAAGAGAGAATCATTGATCAGCTGCCTCCCAGACGCCTCCTACTGGCGATTGAGCCCGCAACGTGGGGATGTGCCCTTGGCCGGAATCGAACTTGGGACCCTCTGTCAGCAGGCTGATGCTCTATCCACTTAGCAAAACCGGCATGGGCAGCCATGTATTTTTTTTTTTTTTCTTAAATGGCTGACAGCATGTTTTCCTTCACATTATATCCTGGGAATTTTGTCATGTCATTAAAATCTCTCTTTCCCCCATACCAGGACCCGACCATCTGGCTTTCCCCCAATTCAATGTCCACTGTCCCTCCCTTCCCTGCTGCCCCTCCTACCTCCAGGCAGGCTCAGAGCCCGATGGATGAAGTCGGCAGCTGTCTGGAAGTGGATGCTCATGTCAAAGGCTGGCGAGTCATGGGCCTCGACACCCAGGTAGCGGATGCCCAGCCCCTCGTAGGCCTCGTGTGTGCCTCGCCACCTGCTGTGTGAGGCATTGAGGACGTGGGTGATGCCCAGGCGCCGCAGCTCACGGTGGTTGTTAGCTATGTCCCTGCATTGAGTAGAGGTTAGAGGAAGGGTGGGGAAGCGAGGCTGTGGGGCGGACTCCCTGGTCTGTGCCCTGCCCACTGCGCAGCTAATGTCATTGGCCCGAGGCCTCCACTCTGCTTTCTGATGGCCCAGAAGGGAGGAACCAAGATAAGCAATGACCTGGAGTCTTGCCCTGGGAAGGTTTTGCCCAGAGAAGAAGAGGCTAAGAGGGTAGGTAAACAAAAGCCATAATAAAACATTGAGGAGAGCTTTGAGCATGGGGGATTTTACTTGATCTGGAGGAAGGATTTACTGGATCTGAACTCCATGCAAGAAGTCCTTACTAATGGTGGAATCTTGCTGAAGGGGAATGCAAGCTGCGAGGACCGTGGGAGAGAGTAATTCTCCTGTCACCGGGCTATTGAAGCCGAGAGAGGAGGTAAGTGTGTGGTCATGGATGCAACAGAGGGATTGGGGCATCAGATGGGCCATCAGTTTGGACCAGCTCCCTTTTACCATCCCCCCCTAACCTTGAGATGATGGGACTCCGGCCCTTGCTCCCACACCCAGCTCCCCTGTTACTTTGTTTTCTCTTTGACAACCAGAATCCTTTTTTGCCCATTATTTCATAGTCACATTTACCCTGCTTTATGACGTCACCTTTAGGTGTTCACGTGGCCCATACCCCTCCACTTAGTGGCAGACGCCTCTCAGGCAACATGGCTGTATCTTAGGGCAGATGCCCCATTCAGTGCAAGCTCCTCAAGGAGAAAGAGCCCTGAACTGAAATCTCCAAGTCCTGGCTCTGCTACTTACGACCTGTGTGACCTTGGGTCAGTCACAACTTCTCTGAGCTCCAGTTTCCTCATCTGTAACCTGGGGATAGTGGTACCTACCTCACAGGCTGTTGTGAAGATTAAGAGAGAAAATGCATGTGAAAAACTCCTTGTATGCTACAGAGCCCTGGAGAGAGAGAAGCGGACTATTTTTCCTCTGATGCCCTTCCCTCCTCAGCCCCACGTTGCAGCATAATAGACGGAAGGTAGATAAGTCCTCTGTTATACCCAGCACGGAGCCTTCAATAATAAATCTTGCACCCTGGTCAGCATGGCTTAGTGGTAGAGCATTGGCCTGTGCATCAGAGGGTCACAGGTTCCATTCCAGTCCAGGGCACTACCTGGGTTGTGTTGGTCCAATCCCCACTCTTGGGTTGCGGCATGCGTGGGAGGTAACCAATCCATGTGCCTCTCTCACATTGATGTTTCTTTCTCTCTCTCTCCCTCATCCCTTCTTTCCACTTTCTTTAAAAAAAATCAATGGAACCCAGTCAGCACGGCTCAGTGGTTGAGTATCAACTTATGAACCAGGAAGTTATGGTTTGATTCCTGGTCAGGGCACATGCTCAGATTGTGTGCTTGATCCCCAGTGTGGGGCATGCTGCAACCAATCAATGATTCTCTCTCATCATTGATGTTTCTATTTCTGTAACCCTCCCCCTTCCTCTCTAACTTTCTTCTTTTTTTTTTTAAATATATATATATTTTATTGATTTTTTACAGAAGGGAAGGGAGAGGGATAGAGAGCTAGAAACATCGATGAGAGAGAAACATCAACCAGCTGCCTCCTGCACATCCCCTATTGGGGATGTGCTCGCAACCAATGTACATGCCCTTGACCGGAATCGAACCTGGGACCCTTCAGTCCGTAGACTGACACTCTATCCAATGAGCCAAACTGATTTCAGCTCCTCTCAATAAAAATATATTTAAAAAAAATTAATGGAAAAAATATTCTCACTACTAGAATAAGGATTCAAAACAAAACAAAACAAAACAAAAAAACCCAAAAGAGTAAAAATTGTGCTAAATAAATGACAGTCTTTCTGACCAGAGTTGGGTAGATCAACAATCCTGCCCACCCCCAAACCCTGGAGCCTCCATTCCATGTCCACACATTCCCACCCCTTGAACCTCAATCTGGAACCCACAATGCAACTCACTGCCTGTCTGCCACCCTTCTCCTTTCTTCCTTCACTCACACACACACACATGGCCTTGGCCCCCCGTTTGCCGGGTACATACTGATCTCCGAGGTAGAGGCCGGGCCAGACCTCGTCGGCGTGGTTGCAGGCTGTCTTGCCCGTGTAGAGAAGCCTCTCTAACTCGAAGACATTGAGGAAGGGATGTCGGACAGCGGGCATCTCCTCCAAGGTCCCTCTGGTGCGGACGGGAGACCTGGAGCTACTCCGGGAGAAGCGGGCCATGAACGTCATGGAGGCCCAGAGCCAGTTCCCGGGACACATCTTAGCAGGAACCGCAGCGCTGCCGGGGCGGCCGCCGCGGAGCCGGCTCAGTCTCCAGGTAGCTGTTGCTGGAGGAGGAAGGGAAGGGAAACACACCTGAGTGAGTCCAGGGCAGCGGCTTCCCCTCCTGCCCACAGGGCTGGGCCCTGGGGAGCGGATTCTCCAGGGAGGGCAGGGAAGACTGGCCCTGGCAGGGCTCCGGGATTCTCCTCTCCTTCAGCTGCGGCAGCTCTGATCTCTCTGCTCTTTTGCTTCTGTCACACACAGGAGGGGGGGAGAGTCACATGTCCTTGTTTACAGGGAGAGAGAGCTGCCCAGCTGCCCGCTTCTGCTCCAGCGCCCCACCCCCACTGCCCCCACCCCCACACACGTGGTGTTTGGGTGGCAGTGCCCACACCAGAGCTCTTGCCAGCCCACATCCGGGTTCATCTGCCTTGGGCTACAGCCGAGAGGCTGGGATGGGAGGTGAGGTGGCTCTCTCCATTCAGGGAGAATCGGCAGGAAGACTATGGAGGCAGCTGGGGCCCTGACATATGTCAAGCCTTCTCCTTCTCCTCTTTCTTCCTCCCCCCGCCCCCCCCCACCCCAGAGATGGGCTGCGTTAACCCATGCCCACCCTCCCACTGACTCAGAGATAAGCCTGCATGGATGTGCCTGTTGAGGAATGGGGTGAGTGGGACTAGCAATAGAGAGGAGTGTTAAGTTGGAAGAATACCTGCTGAATGCCTGAGCCCACGGGAGAAGGCGCCAATCTGTGTGCACCGCAATCAAACCACCCTCCTCTGATCAGCATAGGAGATTAAATCTCATCCCTACTGTGAGGATTTCTGAGCTGAAGCAGGACTAGCGTAATGTGTGTGTGTGTGTGTGTGTGTGTGTGTGTGTGTGTGTTTGGGAGGGAGGGAGAGGAGGGATGAGGGTAGGAGATAGGAGAAGTGGGAGGAAAGGGGAGAATGAGGGATCCTGCTGGGCAAGAGGGGTGGGGGGAGGGGCTCCCAGGCTGGAATGACCTCCCAGGGCCATGGGCCCTGCCTCTGCCTCGCTCTGGACAGCTGGCCTTTGAAAGGGGGACCATGAGTTGAGCTGCAGGCTGGCAGGGCCAGCCTTGGAGACTTGGGACCTTGTGGCAGGAGCCCTCCCTACCCCTCCTTTCCCACGGGGGCCCTGATTGTGTCTGAACAGACAGGGAGGTGGGTGTGAAGGCTCCCTCTCCCGCCCTCTCCCTGCCTTCAGCCCCAGAGCCCTCAGCAGGGGGTCCTCCCACCGCTCTCCTCTCTCCTGGGCCGCAGACCACGCACTTCCAGGGCGGAAGGAGGGGGGCATTAGGATGGGGAGTGGTGAGGGGCGCCTGGATTGGGGGTGTGCAGGGAGGCATTTTCCCAGTGTCTGAGTCAGAGCATCAAAGCACAGCCCTACAGCCGCCGCCGCCACCACCACTGCCACCATCACCATCCACCTGTGCCCTCAGGCCTGAGGAGCCATGTCTTTACCCCCACCCCCCTGGAAGCAGACCTGCTGCCCGTGGGATGCTGCACGGTAACAAGAAGTCCCATCCAGGGGACTCTCTTTCTCCTGGGGCTGGGGGGCGCAGAAGTCCCCTTTTGTCTCTGGGTACCTCTCTCTGCATTCTGCAACCCCATCCGCAGGCTTCCAGGGGCCTCATCTGCGCCATCTCCCTCCCCCTCCCCCCAACTCCCTCCGCTGTGGTAACAGGTTCATGGCTGTCGCCCAGCCCTTGCCACCCAGCCAACCCGCTGCGGAGGGCGCAGGAGGAAGCCCGGGAGGGCGTCCCCACCCTCCCCACAGCCCCGCTGGGAAGGCGACACCCCCTCGCCCTCCCCGCGCAGGCACCCCTCTACCTCTCCGAGCCGCGGGGTCTCAGTCCCGGAGGCCGATTGCAGTCGCCCGCAGCCCCTGGGCCATGGCTCCCTGGTTGGTGCCGTCGTCTCGGCTGCCTGGGCACGACCGCTGGGCCGCGGAGCAGCTATTTTTAAGCCGTGACATGCGCGTCCAGGCCCGGTTCACACCGTGTGCGCCGTGACACCCGGGCGCAGCTGGAGGGGGACGCGCAGTGCGGGCTGGTCCGCCCCCAACTCCGCCCGCACCCCGCACCCCGCACCCCGCCCCGCGCGCTCCTGTGTGCAGACCCGCCCGGACCGCGCCGCCAGCAGCCCCGCCCGCATGCCTGCTCGCCCGTGTGCATGTGTGTTTTCCGAGCTGCGCCACTCGCAGGCACTTAGCTTAAGGATGCCATTGTGCAAGCGGCCCGGATGGTGTCTGAACACACACACACACACACACACACACACACACACACACACACACACACACACACGCACACACACACACACACACTCGCACAGGCACCTGGACCCTCCCGGTTCTGAGAACACGACGCCCATAAATCACAGCCAGGGACTCATCCGTGTGCACCCCCCCCCCCCCACGTGTGTCACAAACCCCAGCTCCTTTTATGCTCGCCACAGGTCTGTCAGGTGCCCCCATCTTAGGGCGGGGGAGGCTGAGGCTCCAGAGGCTTAGGAGTTTGCCCAAGTGACACCCGGGCATAGCCAGAGATGAACATCCAATCCTGGCAGCCTGCCCCCCCCCCCAAGTCCGGTCCTTATAAGCCCCCTAAGCCGGTACTGCGGCTCCGGGGGAGGCGCAGCGGGTTTGCCAGGGCCCGGTCCCCAGCTCAGCTGGCAGGGAGCTCCTCCTTGGCCTCTTGGTGATGCCAACCTCTTACCTTCACCCCGCCTTCTGCTCTAAGCACCTGCAGCTCCCAGATTGTTTTCTTGTTTACATGTGCTCTTAATCTGCACTGTGGAGATGTCCCCTTCTCCTCCCCCCCCCCCCCCGCCCTCCTTCCCTTACCTCCCTCCACCCGGTTCCCACCCTGAGCCGTCACCTCACTGTTGTCTGTGTCCATCCATTCCGCATCTACCAGCGCTGAGACCAGAGACACTTCAGGGCAAAGACTGCACCGCCTCCCCCAGGCCCAGCGCGTGTGCTGGGGGAGGTGGGGCCATAATGAATGAGACCAGATGAGGCTGCTGAGAGCCAAGCGGACCGGGGAGAACTGTCCGGCAGGAGGAAGGCAGGATGTAGATGGTAGGGTCAAGCGGAACCTGGTTTCCGATGAGAAAACGGTGTCCGCTGCATCTGATCAGGGCTGACTACATTCGCAGCCGCAGCTGGGCGGGCAGATCAGGCTTGATCTTCCGGTCAGAGAAGATCCTGGCCCAAGTGACAGCATCCCCAGGTGGTTCTGTGCTAAAGAAGAGGTGCCAGCAGGGGCTTGATTTCCCTCCTCTTAGAGGACACGACTCCCAAAGGCAGGACGGAGAGGGAGTGCTGGAGGTGGGAAGATCTTTCTAACCCTCCCCCAGGCCCCAAGGAAGGGGCGCAGAAGGAGTGACGGGCCCCCAAAGTACGGACAGGCCCGTCTTCCCTGCGCTGTCCACCCTGCATGCCCTCGCAGGGTTAAACAGATCCTTCACCTCAAGGATCCCGTAGCAGAGGCCCAACAGGTGTGACTTTATGTCGCGATGGGTGTGTGGTGAGGGAAGGAGGGCAGGGCAAGACCCAGGGCCCTCTGAGGCGCCCGGTATTGATGCTGACTTATTCTATACCTGCTGCCCCCAGTCCATGTCTTTCCTTGGCTTCTTTCTTGGCTCCTATTTAGCACTTCCAACCCCTAGGTCCCCGCTAGGGTTTTGGGTGCTGTGTTCTCAGGTGTTGGGCTGGTGTTAATGGGGACCTCCCCCCCCTCCCCCCCTCTTGCTTGGGGAGGAAGGCAAGTGGGTCCCATTCTTTGAGTGAGAATCTGGTTTTTGCTTTAGGCCGGGATAATAAATACCTTTCTTCTCCACAATGCATTCAGCAGCCGCTCTCTCCCTGACTTACCTGGGGTGAACACATCTGACCACGGTGGTGATGAATTTTCTTCCCGGAACCTCACACTATGGGAGGTAGCAGATATTCTTCCCATTAGCCTGGCTTTGTCATGAAAATAAATTCTAGAGAGAGTGGACCTGTAGGGGAAATAAACCACAATTATTATCTGCAAATAAAACAGGATACAAGGGAATATATTACAAAATTCAGTATTTTTTTTTTTTTTGAAAAAGGAAAGAAAAAGTATATAAATACACATTTTGAAAAAAAAAACTTAAGGAAATAAGTCAAATATTAAAAGTAGCCAACTCTGGTCCGAGTGGGACTGCATATGATTTTTTTTTTCTTGTGCTTTAAACTGTCTACATTTCCCACATTTTCTCCAGCCAGTATGAAGTAATTATAACTGTCAGCTCTATAAAACTGGCTCAGATTTCCCTAGTGGCTTCTAATGTGGCCAATTTTAGGAATTGCCTCACACATGCTTGAAGAGAATATTCAATCTCCGTTTTGGGAAGCAAATTTCTATCTTTATTTCTCTTCTATGCAAGGCTTTACAATATTCTAAATTCTTAATTTTTGGTTTTGTTTTTTACCAGGGTTTGAGAGATAAATTAAAATCTTTCACATGTTTGTAGGCTTGTTAAATTCTCCATCTAATTCAGTAAATTTTTTTTTTGTTTGGGATACCAAGCTCTATTATTAGATACACAAAATTCACAGGTTTCTGTTTGTTTGTTTGTTTGTTTTAAATATATTTTTTATTGATTTTGTACAGAGAGAAAGGGAGAGAGATACAGAGTTAGAAACATCGATGAGAGAGAGTCATCGATCAGCTGCCTCTTGCACACCCCCTACTGGAGATGTGCCCGCAACCAAGGTACATGCCCTTGACCGGAATCGAACCCAGGACCCTTCAGTCCCCAAGCCGACGCTCTATCCATTGAGCCAAACCGGTCCCGGCTGTTTTTTGCTTTTTTAAAAAAATTATTATTAACATTTTTTTAATTGATTTCAGAACAGAAGGGAAAGGGAGAGAGAAATAGAAACATCAATGCTGAGAGAGAATCATTGATCATCTGCTTCCTGCACACCCCACACTG